CTTGGGAGAACATGCAAACTCCATGCAGAAAGGCTATGAAGTAAGATCACTATCAAAATAAACTTGTACATAAAAGCACAGTTGTGTACATATTAGTCTGAAGTTGTGCATAACAATCATTTGTAAACTCACAATATTTGAAATCTCATGCAAAACATAAAACATTTAGTTTAAATAGTTACATATATGATAACTATTGATTCTGACTGATATGTACACGACTGTGTTTTTAGTACAGGTTTATTTTGATAGTGATCTTACCTCATAAAAGAACCCTGGCCAGGAATTCATGCAGAAACATCTTGCTGCAATGCAACATTGTGCAACACGATGCGCCACTATTCAGCCCAAATGTAGAAATACTTAATCTATTTAAAACAAAGAAAAGGAAAATATTGAATATGTGAGTGCTAAAAAAAAAAAAAAAAAAAGTAATAGTGAAATAGCAAAGGTACTCTCAAAAACTTTTCTGATGAAGACGTTCTTAAAAGTTTCATCTCTGGGTTGCATTATTTTCACAGTTCCATTTGCAAAGCATGCTCTTCGCTTGCAAAAGCAATGGAAGAAGATTTACTCCATAAAACTGCTGCCATTAAATTACACTTGATATGACTTGATAAAAAATATATTTTCTAAGGAAGAGGTCTGATCACGAGTAGAAGGTTCCAGGCCCAAGATGAGTGTCCAAAACAGCAACAGAACTGTTTCCCTCAGTGCAGAACAATTAAAAAAAAAGAAGGGCAATAATTAAATCACTTCTCTCCAAGAAAGAAATTTAAGAAATTCTACAAAAAGTACAAGGATAGATGGTGCTGATTAGTCTCCTTGTTTCCCCAGCAGCTTTTATCCATGCATGATTCTTTTCCTCCTAGGTATGACATACTGTAACATTCTGAGAGCAGTTCCATTAAGCAAAGGTGGGATCAAAATATCCTCTAAAAGCTGCTTTTTTTTAAAGTATAGGAGTAGTTTGATTATGATCTTTAATTTCCCACATGACGGAGCACCATGATTTGCAGGAATAAGTGAAGTTACAGAACACCAATTGCCTTGAAAATCCCCATATTTTGATTCTCCTAAGAGTTAAAAAAATGCAGATTGATCAACAGAAATCAAATACCTAGAAACTTGAAGCACATTTTTTTTAGAAAAAAAAAACCGATGGCAGTCTGGATCTGCTCCTGAAGCTGTTACCCTCTGATCTACAACATCTATGTTAAAACGTCTGATTTTAGTTATTCTATAGTTTACCATAACAAAACATGTAAAACAAACTTTGAGGCCACAAACAACAACATCTGGGTATGAGTGTAGACTTAAGGCCAACAGGGAAGCTACAGGTGATGAGTGGTACTGTGTATAGATTCTTGCTGTTGCTTGATGGTAGGAGCTACAACAGAGAAGCTAAAGTGACAAGCTTGCTGTATCTTTGATCACTCAGGGGTACTTTCTTTAGCAGTGCTTACATGCTTGGGTTCCAGCAAGCAACAGATTTGATGATGCAGTAAAAGAATTGCTGTCACCCACCAAGCCAATTGTTTTGCGATATATCAAGCAAGCAGCTAAAGGCGGCAATTTTATCCGGGAATCACGTCAGCATGAACGCACCATAATAGTAAAGAAAAACTTTAAATTTGAGAGTTTATCCCATTATCACAATTATTATTGTTGTTTAAAATATAATTTTTCCTCATTTTAGTATGAGGAAATTATGAGTAATGAGTAATGTATGAGTAATGAGATCCATTATATAGCAGGTACTTTAACATGTATTCAAATCATGAAGACGTTGCCTCTTTTGAACAAAAACACATTAGTTTTACATCATATTTGTCCATTTTGACCATTCTAAAACGCAGCTAACATGGAATCAGAGAAAGAATCGAGGCTCTGTAGATCAAAGCAAAGATTCTCTTAAGAAAGACCTTATTATCCTTTTTGTGGATAGTTCCTCAAGTTAATATTTTTTCCATGTTCGCCTGTTGTGCTGCAAACAAGCTGCATCTTTATATAACCCTTATCTGAAGGCCTATATGTTTATCTGTAAGTGTCTTCAGACACCTAATGAGAGCAGAGACAGCTTCGTTTTTCAGAAGCTGCCAAGAAAAACAAAATAAATGAATAAGAACAGTTTGAAACTTTTCTTTCTTTCTTTCTTTCTTTTTTGTTAACCAGACCTCTGGGTCTGATGGAAGGGGCCTGGCATTTTCAGAGTTTAAACAGAAGGCATCAGAAGAGAAGTGGAAACATTTTAAAGCTGTCTTACGCTAAAAAGCAAAGACAATGTCAATAACTTGACTTTCCATCCAGAGATAGTTTTTTTCCCCCTTTTTTTTATGTATAATGCTACCCTGCCTGTCAAAACCGTTAGATGTCTGTGTTTGTCTCTCTCTTTAAAGTTTCAAATTGATGAATATTTAAAATCAGAAGAGGAACCAGAGAACAGGCCCTGATCTCATGCTCTGTCCAAAGCTTTTAAGAGGATTGCTTCATAGAAAATCAGTTGGATATCTGTCTGGGATAAAGAAGTGACTATCAATGTCCTATATAGCACAGCGATAACAGGAGGCACCTACTTTGACCATGGCACACCTGCCCAGTTAATAACATGCCAACGGCAAGCGTTGATTTGAGGCATAATCATTGCTGCTTAAACTTGAGATGGAGCAGCTCTTTTAGCACCTAGTTGAACAGCTACAGCAATTGCTCTTCTTTCTAGCTGATGTCTAATTCGGAAAAATTGGTTTTTCGGCTAAAAGATGTCTCAGCCTCAGATGTGGTGTGATACAGCAACATCATGAAATGGGCAATACCCACACGAGGAAAGGTGGAGCACAGTGAAGGCGAGTGTCTGTTTTTCAGATTCAGACAGTAAATGAGCAGCAGATTCACTGGGATCCAAGAACCTCTGGGATCCAAGTGCAATGCCCTAATCACTAGGCCACCACTACCACTTTGACAATAAACTAGACTGGAGAATTAGTGTCAAGTTGTGTGAAAGTTGAAGGACCAAAATGCAGAGAATGAAGCTGAGGTGGATTCTTAAAGATTTAATATGATTTCAAAAAGCAACAGAACCAAAGGTCCACAAACAAAATACTAAAATCCAGGAAAACAAACACGAAGGACAGAGAAATGATGAGGAACCAGCAAACAGTAACTGAAGAGGAGTATACATGGGAGACTGAACAAAGACTAGGCTAATCAGCAGACTGGGAGCAGGTGTGGACAGAAGAAACTAGAAGGGAGCTCGGAGAAGGAGACTGACACAACAAAGCAACAGCGGGTAAACAAGAAACTCATAACAACTCAAATACAACCAAAAAATACCACAAAAAGGGAATTAAATCAAAACCAGAAAACAGAAAAACATGAATCAAAATGAAACTTAAACAGAAGTGCAGAATAATGACACCTAGAACCTCTAGAGATTATTTCACATATAAGAATTTGTCTTAAAGTAAAGAACAGCAACAGCGACAATCCTCTTCAGAAGATTTTTAAACAACAACAGTGTTTTCAGCAAGAGGCTTCTCCAGATCACTAGAGAAGATCCCTTCCTGCCTACAGCTATCAACACCTACAATACCTTTTTATTACAAAAAACAACAAAAAAACAAAAACAAATGAGGTACTGCAACATTTAATTTCCTTTTGGGATTAATAAAGCATAAATAAAAAAGCATTAATAAAACTGTTGAACTGGGGAAAGGCGTCAGAGGTCACAGTCTGCACTGGATCCAACGTAGTACAATGAATGATTTAACAGTCCTTAATTAAAATCTTGGGATGTTACAGCAACGGGTCTATAGTCACTGAGGACTGTTGGCAGAGTCTTCTTTGGCACTGGAACAAGGGAGATCTTCCACTTTACTGGAAATGTCTGATGGGTCAGGCTAAGGTTGAAAAGGTGCTGTAGAATCCAACAGAGCTGCTCTGCACAGGCCTTCAGGACTCCCTGCCTGACACCATCAGGCAGACTTATTACGATTCAGTCTCTCCAGTTGCCTCCTTACTTGACTTTTAGAGACAGACAGGTGAAAGGTGGAGGGATCAGCACCATCTTCTGATTTAGCTGGCAACAAATTCTTAGGAGAAGGAGATCAATGGCAGAGCAGAGGAGGGCTGGATGTTAATGTGACTGTGGGCAAGAGAGAAGGATGCAGAGCTTGTTTCTGAACTGAGACAGTTGAAGAATATATCCAGTTCAATTTATTCTGTCCAGACTTTTACCTGTCTGATTATCGCTGCCAGCCCAGCCTATGATCTTCTTCATCCCTGACCACACATCTCTGATATTGCTCTGCTGGAGCTTGTTTTACAGCCTCTTCTTGTATGCCTCCTTGCTGCTGCTTTTGTACACTCCTAATTAATTCCCCATCAACCATCTCAAAGGCTTTTTTTATTTTCTTGTAAAGCAGTTGCTTCATATCACTTGTCACCCATGGTTTATTTGACTGAAATGTATTAAATTACCTTGCAACAGCAGATTTGCCTAAACTATAATCAACAGTAATGACCTTTTAATATAAAAATGTCCTCTTCAGCCACTGCAGCATAAGTGGGTGCATCTTGCAATATGTGTCTTGTATTATTCGCAGCTGCAATTGGTTACTCTAAGCCAGGGGTCACCAACCCTTTTTAAGGCTGAGGGCTGCTTCATGGTTAATGAGTCATTTCTAATTTTCTTGAAGATATTGTCTTTATGTAATCTTTAAAATTCTTAAATGCTCTTTATGATTAATATTATGAGATAAATAATAAAAAAATGAAGAGCAACAGAATAAAATTAAACTTCAAAAGGAGTTGGTCTGATTTCAAGAGAAGCTGAGGGCCCCCATGTGGTCCTGAAGGGCCCATGGGCACTGCGTTGGTGACCCCTGCTCTAAACCATCTTCCCAGTGAAAATTAAATAATTATTGAAAAAGAGACGAAGACACACATTTTAATTCTATTTTTTTTATTTCAAAATAGACATGCTCAAATGCACAGATCCTAATTCCACAATAAGATATTCTCCATATTTTTTCTTTTTTTAAATCTCAGAGAAAATATACAGGGTTTTTTTTCTACAGTGCCTTCAGCATATGCAAACATTAGAGTGCCTTTACTGTCTGAAAACCAAAAACACCCACGCAGGAAAACCGTATGCACTCCTGAATGTACTGCAAGTAGGTCTGTGTGTGTCACTTTCTTCAAAGCACCGATCATAAGCTGTTTCAAGAACAAAAATAAGCTAAATTTAATATTCAAAATGAATAACTAAGGGATTGGGTTTCTTCTCACTCTAAGAGCTCCTTTTGGGCTTCTTGACAATTCAGTTCCTCTCAATCAAAAACTTAAGCTACAATTTATGGCTTAACAAGGAGCTAAATGGTTTGAATAACAAACTAAAAGATAAAATGATTTTTCAGTTTGTGGAACAGACACATTTCACCTGGATACACTTTCCTTTAACCATCCTCAGGCTTAAAGACAAAGCATTATCTAAAACTATATATTTTCTCAAACTCCTGCTCACAGTGCAGAGGCACAAAAAGACCATGTTGTGAAAAATGAAAAGCAGTGACAAAAATAGGGTCCTTGCTGCAAGGAAATGCTCTACATAAAAAAGAAAAATAGATCAGTCTGTCTCCCATAGGTGAGACTGGCTATATTTCTGACTCCTCAGTTTCAGCAGCACATTCAAACTGAGGCGACATGCGCAGTATTGTGCCATATCCATCAGATGGCAGCAGAAGCAGGGTTTAAAGCACCTGATTATCAAGTTTAAAGCCACAAATCCCCAAAGAACAATTTTCAGGCTGCAGATGTGACATTTTATTTGAAGAAGTGACCAGAAATTCTCACAGTGAACTTAGGGGTTGACACAGAAATAGCATGGCGCTCTGTGGGTGATAGTGTTGGTTTACTGACTATTTCAATGCCTCCTAAAACAGAGGCAGACAATAGGAAGCTAATGCAGCAGTTCGCAGACGTATTTGCAATATAGGAAAATGTAGAAGAGTTCTACGTAAAGAAATATTTGCAATGAGTGAATGCAAGGGTTAGCAAAAAAAGGAACACAACCAAAACCGCACATCAAATAATATAAATAGCATTATTATGTTAAACCAGTTTTTTTTTTTTTAACATCTATGATCCCGTTTAACATGCTGATTTTATAGAAGTCGAGCTTTTAAGGTGGAAATTTCACAACTTTTAAGACTCTGACCCACAAAAAGGCACCAGAGTCATTCACTAAGGGAAGATTTCTTTAAAATCAGTTTAACACCGGAGTAATATTATTAAAACAGCATCAATAATCTAAGAGGTTTTGTTTATTTTTAAGTGATGCTTTTAAATCTTAAAGAACTCTAACATAATTTTTGTGAAATTATCAAGATACTGGTTGATAAGGGACCCCAACTTGGTGAATTAATGTTTTAAAGAATGCCTGCAACTCTATCACTTATGTTTATCTATGGTATGCAGCAGAGATCTATTCCTGCAGGAAAGCGCCTGCAGAGAAACCTATTGAACTATCTTTGGTGTAAAAACATAATATAAAAATATTAAAATGAAAGAAATATTAAAGAAGAGAGAACTGAGGTTATCTTTTTACATAACAAACTTTTCCTTTTGTACCATTCTTAAAAAAAAAGGCGACGTTCCCCTGCTGCCTCCTGTTTTCGACACTGCTGATAAATAATACTGATAAAAACAGATAAAACGTGGAGGCAAACCTGATGAAAACGATCCCTCCGATTGGTGTTAATGCAACAGACTAAAGAAGACATAAGACAAGTTAATCCTCATTGGTAACACTGAAGGAAAAGAAACCAATCCTTGCTCCTCTTTGCCAAGTCTTCTCAGTCAAGTTTCACATCAGCATAAAAGATCAAAAATAGAGAATTTTTTGCCATGAAGTAATCAGTATTTCTTCTCCAGAGCTACAAAGCTGCAGCAGCTCGTAAACTTATGCATTACTTTACAGTTTACAGCTCCAAAGTGATGTGGGAAACAGGATGTAAGAGATGGACCACAGCAGGTAGTAGACACACGCAGGGGGGAAGGAAGAGCAGAACACCATGGCAACTCCTGAAACAGACAAATAGAAGAAAATCAAAAGAAAAATCTTCCTCTACATCCATTTCTTGTTTTCAGCATGACTACCACTTGTGTCCGTGTTTTCTACGGGCAGTGAGCCACATGGACATATATATATATATATATATATATANTAATGTTGCAAAAACAGTTTTAACTGTTTCACATGGACAAACCCAAATGAACCATGTTTCATTTCCAGATGTGGGATTTACTTAACATTGTACTGCATTTCCAGGCATGAGAGAAGCTAGCATTAATGTGAAAAACGCACATTAGGAAAAGAACTATGTATATGCAGGGAGTTTTTCAAATACATATGATACAATATTTCACATTATAAAGTCATAGTAATAAAATTGGGCTGCTAGGCCACTTGGCTGAAGCAAAGAAATGCCATTTAAGCCATCGCTCTAAGTGTTCCATTTTTTTGGTTATCATAGGCTGTTATTTGTTCCATCTTATATATTTCCACTACAATGTCTCTCCACGTACCAAGTATTGGGCTTTCTGGTTGTAGCCATTTTCTCGTGATAGCTTTTTTGCTGGCCACCAAAAGGATGTTCATTAAGTATTTATCCAATTTCAGCCTGTCTTGAGGAACACATCCCAGATACAAAGTCTTAAAGTCCAGAGGCAAATCCTCTCTAAAATATGTCTTGTAATGAGTTATGTATTTCTGAATTTTTGGGCAATCCCAAAAGACATGGTGGTGATTTGCACTTTTTGACCACATTGTCTCCAGCAGACAGGGGTGGTGTCACTGAATTGATGAGGATGAGGTAGTAAAATATATAATAAAGGAAGAACTGGAGCATTTTTCATAGCATATCTCATTTAACTCCTTCGTTAAATGAAAGAAATGTATATATATATGTATATATATATATATAAAAATTTCTTTTTTTTTCTTGTGCTGTAAAAGTTTGATTGGATTTTGAGGTCAGAGCTGGAGTCAAATCTCCAACTGTAAACTCTATATTTGAACTTCTGAAAACTTCTCTGTAATTTCTTCCAACTTAAAGCTTGGATATTTCAAGTTCAGGATAAACATGGAAGCTCCAGTTAAACCGGATCCCTTAACCATTCAGTGCTTGATGCCTGTTATAACCCAAACATAAAAAAATCCTGACTGCTATTTTTCTTCCTTTTAAAAAAAAATCCACAAACACTGGAAAATCTAGTATTCATTAAAAATTTGAGAACCACTGATCTGGAGAATCCAAGCAAGGCCATGGTAGCAACCACAGCCTGGATACCACCCACAGCTTTAGACCACTGAGAAACATTCAGCCATCCAGCAGCACTGAGATCAGCCAAGACAATCTGATAAGTGCAATTGCCTGACCCCGCTTTCCGACCACAGATCCGTTAGGGGGTCGGGCCGTTAGCCTGTGTGAGGCACATCATTAGCCTCCCTGTTGTTCTCATTTGTTATTTTTCCCATTAATGCCTTTTCTAATAGGCTGCAGTCACGCAAAGTTGATCAATGTCACCAAAAAACATCCATATTATCTGTTTTGGAGTGAAAAAGGGAAAATAATAAGCCAAAAATGGAAAAGCTATGGTTAAAAATGTTAAATTTTATCAGATTTCAAACTGTTTGGAGGAAAAAAAAACATTTCTTATTCGTGATTTTTCTAAATCAGTTCAACTCTCTGAAATCTGTTTTGAATGAACTTATTCAAATGTTAATATCTCTGTGCACTGAGGCCCAGATTTTACGAGTGCACAGAAATCAAACCCTCCTCTACTGATTTGTTAAGCGACTGATGTGCGCTCTTTCCATCCCCGGTTTTATAAAATAAACGCACAAGTGGATGATGTTGGGAAAGGTCTTTGTTTGTCACTTATACTGATATATTGAAAGCAGATGTGGCTGTTGTTTATCTCCTGAAAATATTCTATTCTCATGGAGACTGTGGCCCAAAGGTCAAGAGTGAGCGTCACTCCTTATCTAAAATCAGTGCATTCGGGAGGCTGCTGCTCACCTTTCAGCTTTGTTGATGTTTTTCTCTTAACCTCGGCTGAAACACGAAGAGAAGTTCAAGCCTAAGAGCTCAAACCTCCTTATACAGCTGCATTTGACGACGAACTAAACACACATTCCTGATTTAGGCACATTAACTGTAAGAGCTCCAAGCATGATTCCAATTCCCTTCGATCTGGTTAAATGGTCCAACTGAATGCCTGTGAAATAATATTCAGTCATTGCTGCAACTCAAGCGAATCCAAGAAAATCAGTCTTTTGCTCTCACAAATCTTTCAACTTGTGCTCTCATTTGGAAGGACCATAATTTACAGAATGAACAAGCAATAGATGTGGCAGAGGAATCGACCCAGCTGGTATATTTATTTCCTTCTCACAGCCATTTTTTTTATTATTTTTTTTTTACATCGGGCTAAATTTGAACAGTGGCCAGAATACCGCTTAATTTAATCGCTTCCATATTTCTCGGGCTGAGTGAGGTAATACCATTTATTCAAGTGCGATAGGGAGCCAGCAGAGCCATTTTGTGTTATTAGCCATGCTTGAAGCGCACACTTGATTTGTGAATTTTCTGAATAGGGAGCTGTGTTGTGGGAAAAAGAAAGGTTTCTTTTTCACTTGGAGAACATGGAGCAGGAAACAATGTGCCAGCATCAATCTTAAATAAACTGCTCCTGAATGTGAAGCAGCTGCTGAAAAGTTCTGAGCTCCGATAAAACGAAAGGCCAAATCAGCTCCGACATATTTTAGCTGATATGTCGACCTGGAGCTTTGATTATGCTTCAGCCTCCTACTGTTTGCATAAAGGTTGAATGGATTTAAACAAATCATAATACAGTCATATCACTTTACTCTTATAAAGGATTTAAAGTTATACTACTACTACTGCTAATAATAGTAAGGATAGCAATAATAAGAAATTTTCAAAAAAATTCATAATGTATTAATATAGCACACAAAAAATATTTGTTGACCCAAGCCATTGAATAAATAAAGTAAAAATTTAGGTATATATGAATGTTATCCTATATATATATATATATATATATATATATATATATATATATATATATATATATATATATATATATAATCTGCTACTGACTGAAAATTTTCAGATTTCCATTACAGCTCTACAGACATTTCTATTTTCACTTACCCCCAGCATACACCACCTTCTTCCAGGTCTGAGACTCCAGCACTTTATCATGGGGATAGAAATTCTGACTGATCATAAAGAGAATCATGGCCACTGCTATGACCCGTAAAACTGTCATGTTTCCTCCAGACAGCAAGGAGGCGCTGGCTAGGATGGCTGAGGAGTAGATGCAGGGGAGGCCGCGGTACATGAATGGAATGCCTAATAAAAAAACAAAAAGGAGGTTTGGTTTAGACTCATTAGGATATAATAAATGTTTGCGTAAACATAAGCCTTCAGTTTCTCACCACTAGAAAAGAAACAGAGCCGGACGAATACGGACAGCACGTAGCACATGCATAGGACGTTGTCCAGCAGGTCGGATGTCCTCAGCAGTAGAGATGTAGCGATCCCGAACGTGGTAAAGTCTGCAAAATCATCCAGCTTTGCACCTAAACATGGAAAACCAAACCACTAAGCTGCTGATACATCTATTATTAGCATGCTATTAACATATGCTCTCAAAAAATTAGTTTCTAACTCAGTTGTCTTATTTGGGTTCACAAGCATATAAGAATCTACCTAGTCCTGTTCCCTCCTCAACTATTTAAAACCAACCCAAAATGCATCAGCCAATCATTTTGCAGTATTATGGTTCAAGGCAGGACATATAGCATTATGAAAGCAAGAGCTGCACAGCCCACAGCGATCCAAAATAAACTTTGCAGCACAGAAAGACTAACCCTTGCCCTAAACCTAACTCTGACCCTAGCCCTGACCCTAAACCTAGCCCTGGCCCTAGGCCTGACCCTAAACCTAGCCCTGACCCTATCCTAGCCCTGACTCTAACTCTAGACCTAACCCTAATTCTCCAAGTTCTACAAACTGGCTTGGCTATGGATCTGAGAGATACCAACAACCGTGCGGTGGCCTGTGCAATACCTGTGATCCTCTAACCAACTGCCCTAGTCGTCGGACTGGGTGGGGGGGTGTCATTGAGAGAGTGTCTAACGCCTCACCCCCGGCTCACACCGACTCCGCTCTTACCGTTGCGGTGTGGTGGGTGCGGCGCCGCAGTGATTCCAAGTCATTAAAAAGACGTAAACCTCTCTCACCGGCTGCTGAGCTGTCCGGCTGCGGTTACCGAGTCACTCCAGCGCTGCAGAAAATTCAGCAAGAAAGCTATCCTTGCGGCGTGCCGGAGCCCTTCACATTGTGGCACCTGGCTGTTTTTTTTAAAGGTTTCTTTATACTTTTATACTTAAAGTAGTGTTTGGAGCACATACTTTTTCACTTTTACTTGAGTAAAGAGGTCAAGTTGATACTTCAACTTTGACCAGAGTATTTTCTAAACTTTAGTATCTATACTTCTACTTAAGTAAGAATGTGTGTACTTTAGACACCGCTGCATATTTGCACCATAGATATT